AGGTTGATGTAACATCAGAAAATCAATTAATACACCACATTAATAAAAGACAAAAACCACACAATTGATAGGAAAAACACTTGAAAAAGTCACATAAAAATTCTCAAGCAGCTATGAAAAGAAAGAACTTTCTTAGCCTGATAAAGAACATCAATAAAAAATTCCACAAGCCTCTTCCTGAATGTGGGAAGACCAGATGACTTCCCTTTAAGATGAAGAGCAAGGCTAGAACGTTGGCTCTTACCACTTCATTCAGCACTGGGTTGGAGCTTCTGGCCAGTGCAACGACACAAGGAAAACAAATTATCAAATGCATCTAGATTGGCGGGTAAGACATAAAATTATGCTTATCTTCAGACAGTAATACTGTATACAGATCATCCCAAAGATTCTACAGAAAACTACTAGAACTAGTGAAGAAGTTTATCAAGGTGACAGTATTGAAGAGTAATATATAAAAGTCAGGGCTGGGGATTTAGTTCAATGGCATAAGTGCCTGCCTGGCAAATGCAAGGTCATGAGTTTGGTCCACAGTATAAAAAAAGTCATATATATATATATATATATATATGTGTGTGTGTGTGTGTGTGTGTGTGTGTGTGTGTGTGTGTGCCTGTATATATGTGTGTGTATATATATATATATATATATATATATATATAAAATGCAAATGCAAAGTCATGAGTTTGATCCACAGTACAAAATATATAGTCATATATATAAAGTCAATTGCATTTCTACATACTGGCATTGGAAGTCAAAATGAAGTAAAGAAAATAGTGCTCAGGCATCAGGGAGGTAGCTCAGTGGTAAAGCATGTATATAATATCTATGAGGTTTTGATCCCCATTACCACACATACATACACACACACACATAATTGTTATTGTAAGAAAAGAGTTTTTCCTCAATAGTCTGAAAATGAATAAAATACTTGGAATAAATTTAAGAAAATAAGTACAGAATTTGTATACTGAAAATTACCAGACTGCAGGGAGAAATTAAATTTTAAACAAATGGTGAGATATTCTGTGCTCATGGAATGAAAGATTCAATATTGTTAAGGAATCGAAGTTCCTTGCAAATTGATCTATAGATTCAATGCAATCCTTATGGAGATCCTAGGAACATTTTTTAACATGATAAGGTAATCCAAAAGTTTATGTATTGAAATAAACCACAATAATTAAATTTTTGGCAGAACAATATACCTTTCACTATAACATCCAGAAAAATGAAATACTTAGAAATCAATCTAACAAAGGATGTAAAAGATCTGTACAGTGACAATAACAGTACCCTAAAAAAGGAGATTAAAGAGGACATCAGAAAATATAAAGAAATTATTTGTTCTTAGATAGGAATAACCAACATATGAAAATGGTCATATTTCCAAAACTACTATACAGATTTAATGCAATCCCAATCAAAACACCATTAACATACCTCACAGATCTAGAGAAAACATTCCTAAAATTCATTTGGAACTAGAAGAGACCTAGAATAGCAAAAGCAATTCTGGGCAACAAAAGCAAGTCAGGGAGCACTATAATCCCAGAGTTGAAATTATATTACAAAGCAATCATGATAAAATCAACAAGGTATTTGCAAAATCAGGCCTGAGGATCAGTATTATAGAATAGAAAATATAGACGCAACCCCAGACACACTCAGCCACCTCATCTTTGACAAAGGAGCCAAACATGTTCTTTGGAAGAAAAATTGTCTCTTTAATAAGTGGTGCTGGAAAAACTGGCTTTTCACATGCCAACGACTTAAACTAGATCTATCTCTATCACCATGCACTAAACCAAAGTCAAAATGGATCAAAGATCTAAATATTAAAACAGAAACACTAAACCTACTAGAAGACAAAGTAGTTAGAAACCTTGAAAACATACATGTAGATTGAGAGTTCATAACAGAACCCAAACTGTCTGGGACATACTTCAAAGAATCAACAACTGGGAATCTCATCTTATTAAAAAGTTTTGTGCATCAAAAGAAATCACCAACAGAGTGAAAACACAACCCACAGAGCGGGAAGTTATTTAGCCAACTGTCTCTCAGACAAAAGGACTGCTGTCTAGAACACATAAAGAATTAAAAGAAGTCAGACCTTCCAAATTCAAAGACCCAATTAAAAAGTAGACATCTGAGATGAATACACACTTCTCAGATTAAGAAATACAAATGGAAAATATATACATGAATAAACACTCAACAGCATTTGTTATTTGAGAAATGCAAATTAAAACAACACTGAGGTTCTATCTCACCCCATAAAGAATGGCTGTCATCAAAAAATCAACCAATAACAAATGCTGGTAGGACTATGGGGAAAAAGGAACTCTTCTCCATTGTTGGTAGGGGTGTAGACTGGTACAGCCACTGTGGAAATTAGTGTGGAGATTCCTAAATAACTAGGATTAGAGGTTCCATTTGACTCAGCTATTCGCCTTCTGAATATTTCCCCAGAAGAATTAAAAACATCATACCACAGTGATATATGCAGCAAACTTTGCAGCTAAATCTTGGAAACAAGCCCATCAACTGAGGAATGGCTAAATAAGATGTGGTTTTTTAATACAGTGGAGTACTACTCAGACAAAATGAAGGATAAACTGGAGGCTTTTATAGGTAAATGGATGCAACTTGAGATCATAAGTGAAATCAGACTCGTGTAAAAATTATATTGTCTCATAGTGTGAGAAACTGAACAAGTAAATGGGATGCAGAAAGTGGAGAAGAAACTGTTTAAAAGAAAAGACAAACTGTGATAGGGTAAAGGAAGAAAGGAAGAAAAGTAGGTTATGTGCAAGATAGTTAAGATAGCTATACAGTTAGCTTCTCTGTTCCTTGAGAGGAATTTTTTAGTTTTTAAACATATCATGCCTATATCCGTTACTCTGAATAACTACCATGAAGACAACAATGTACAGTGTATCAAATATTGTAATAATTCTATTAGTCACTTTTGTAATTCAGTCTCATTTTTTTTCTCCTTAAAATAAAATTAACTATATGCCTATAGACTCTTCTGTGGATGACACTCCTCCGGGGCTCCTGGAAAGTGCGTTCATTCTGTTTGTAAAGCTATCACAGAATTCCTTGTGGATTCAGAGGGTTCACTAGGTTCATGTGGGCTTCTGCAGGCCTGGTAATTTATGGGCACAATGAGGCAATGTAGATCTTGGTTGTGAGCCAAGTATTAGGGAAAGAAAGGCAGAGTGTCAGGGCGCTCGAATTGCAGCGTTTACTGCTCCCATTTACTCACTGTACTTTCGGGCTTGGAGCTGCCCTGAAGCTCTGTGTGGTAAGGTCACTCTGGAAACTCCTGCAGGGCTGTCTGTGGGCATGTCTATTGCTCTTTAAGTGATGTGGGACTATCTCCAGTGCAGATTTGCTTTAGATCCAGGCCTCCCTTCATCTTGGCCATTCCAGCTCTGCAGCATAGATTATTCTTGAGATATGACAAGAATAGGTATAGCTGACCAATCATTTTTATTTTTGAAACATTCTGAACATCTCCTCCTACAAATATTTATTTCTGGTTATTATTCTTTTGCACTTTACTCTCTAGAAGTAGCATCAATAATTATGAAGCAGGCTGTCAGAAGTGCATGGCTTTGGAGTCAAGTATATGGTTTAAATTTCAATTCCTAACTCTCATAAGCTGTGACTGTTAATGATGGTTGAGTAGTAAAGCACATTTTTGGGGGTGACTGAGAGGGTGTTTCCAGAGGTGACTGGCATATGGGACTGCAAACTGATGGGAGAGATCACTCCAAAAGTGGGTAGCAACATCTGCTAGGCTGCAGCCAGATGAAATAAAAGAGAGGAGAAGGAAATCTTTCACCTCGACTGTGGCAGGCTCTCTGTGTCTGTCTGGCTCTATTTTTGTCATGCTGTCTCTGCCTCACCTCAAGTCTAAAAGCAATGGAGACAGATGACCATGGACAGAATCCTCTGAGGCTTTGAGCCACAAGAAATGTTTTCTCCTTTTAAGTTGTTGTCAGGTGTTTTGTCACAGTGACAAAAAGCTAACACAGTAACCCTGTGACTTTGGGGCAAATGCCTCAGCTTCTCTGAGTCTTGCTTTAGGAAATCTGCAAAACAGAGATACTCATACCACAGAGAGTTATTGTGAAGATGAAATAAGATCATGTATGGAAAGACTTGAGCACAAGCCTGGCTGGCACATAGTCTTTGTTCTTTATTAAATCAGATAGTGGATTGCATAGCATGGGCTCTGGCTCTAAATATGAATCCGTGGTTTTCTACTAGCCAGCGAACTGGTGCAAATTTCATAATATCTCTGCCTCTGTTTCTGCATTTGTAACATGGATATTTAGCACTCACTTTATTAGGATTATCTAAAGATTTAATGAACACTCCTTTTTAAATTTGTACAAACATAAACTTCTATTTTCTTCTCACCAGCCAATATAATGCCTTTATTCCCTTGGAGCAACATATTTCATTTATGTGATTTAGACACGAGGGTCATAGACACACAGTGGTTGTCCTCTTGCAAGTGATCAGGTGGGCTTGGTGGAGGTGGCCATTGGCTCACCAGTAGTGGATTCTGAGTCATCTGTTTCATTATGCCACATGCATCTTCCCAGTCACTCTGTGCTGATTAGACAGGCTACATTCCCCATAGAGGAAAGGAATAGTGCTCGAATCAGGATGAGCCACATTTAATTTGTCTCCTAGAATGGTTTCACCCAGATCTTCCTACAGCCCTGAATTCTCTAAAATTCCTGCATGCAGCATTGTGGAGTGTAATGGAACCTCCTATAAATTTGTCTCTTCTGCAAAGTAGCCGGCAAATACTGTAAAGCTGAAACTTTTAACCCTTATTGAGGTGGTAACAAGGATCTATTCTGTTTTCCTCTTGTCTCTGAGATTACCTCATTGGAACTGGCTTATGGCTTTAGAGTCCTTTAGAATATATGGATCTAATTTATTACTAATTACCTCTGCTTTAATTTTAGCTGATTATATACCTTGGAAACAACCAAGGCGAGAACTTCTCCGTCCACCACACAACTACCGGCCAGCATCCACAAAGTTTGACAGCAGAACCACACACCAGGATGACTATCCAGTAAAGGCCCTTGTGAACACCAGGAGCTGTAAACCTCCATACATGCCAAGGCTCTGTGACATCCCTTTGGAGGATCTGACTAACTACAAGATGAACTATGTGCCTCACCCTGTGGAGAAGCGCTTTGTGCATGAGGCAGAGAAGTTCAGACCCTGTGATATCCCTTTCGAGAGCCTCACTACCCACAAAGAGTCCTATCGGGGTTTGGTAGGGGAGCCTACTAAGAGCATGAAACCTCCAGACAGGCCCCCTGGGCTAGATACACCTTTCTCTACCACCACAGAGTTTCGTGATAAGTACCAAGCTTGGCCAACACCTCAGGTATTCTCCAGAGCTCCTGTCCCCTATGTCCCTCCTGAAGAAAAGATGGATTTTCTGACAACTGTACAGTCCCACTACATGTACCCTAAGGGTATGCCTGCTCAGTCCTGCCGACCAGTGCACCAAATTAAGAAGAGCTGCCGCTTTGAAAGCTCCACTACCACCAGAGAACACTATAAGCAGTGGGCCAGCACACGTACAGAGCCAGTCAAGCCCATTTCCCAGCTGAACCGTCCCACCGAGCCCTTGGACTCCCTGACCACCAATCAGGCCCACTATGTGCCCCATCCACTTATGAGTACCAAAAGCTGTAAGCCCATGTGGTCTCCCTCTCGAGGGAATATTCCCCTGGAGGGTCAGACCACCTACGGCATCAGCTTTACTCCCAAAGAAATGGGCAGGTGCCCAGCTTCATACTCTGAGCCCCCTGGCTACATCTTTGAGGAAGTAGATCCTTTAGGGCACAAGATATATAGGCCAGTTTCCCAGACAGGCTCTGGACAGTATGGCCATCTTTCTGGAGGTGATACAGAAAACCCTAACCAGACAGAGTTGACAATATCAGCCTGAAGTTAAAAATTATTTAGAAATTGCACAATACTTTTAAAAGCAAATAATAGTTATTCATTGGACAAAAGGACTCCCCCAAAGTGAGGAAAAGCAAACAACTTCATCGTCAATTGTAGAACACTTGAATAAAATGGAAATCATTTGAGTCAAGGAAAATGGTATTTAATCGCTTGCTGATTTTTTTTTTTTTGTCTTTTTCATTTTTATCGGTACCAGGGATCGAACTCACAACCGCCTGCTTGCAAGGCAGGTGCTTATGCTGCTGAGCTAAACCCCCAGCCCTAATCGCTTGCTGATTAACACCGATTGATTTCCCCTTCTACGGTCTTCCCCCGCTCTCAGGTCCCTTACCTCGTGCTTACGAAATACATTGGTCTCAGCAAAATTTTCTCTGATCTAGATTCATTTTATTCATTTATATGAACTGACATAATGATTAATCCTTGCCAAGTATAGGGTGCCAAAGAATAAACTTTATTTTGGGGGAACTGAATCTGTAGGTCTATGTTTTCCCTCAGGTGAGAGAAAGAGTTGCTTTCGACCTTTGGAGAGCTTTCACACTTGCCACCATGTCACCTTAATACTATTGGCAATTCCCTAGGCCTGGTATGGGAACTTGTTTTAGGATCTCTATGCTCTGGGCTTCCCAGGGCAACTTTCTCTTAGATGACAAACCAACAAGAATGGTGTTGTCTGACGGGATGTGAGGGAATAGTCCCAGGGCAGTCCCAGTGGTGCATGGACTTAACACACTTCTCCTTTCCCCTGAACCACTGTAGGGAGAGGAAGGGTAAAAGGGACTCCAACCAACCAGGGCATAGTCTGCTGACCCCTGGGCTGTGAGCTGGAGTGGTTTTCTCTTGTAAGTGCTCAGAACCTGAAGAAAACTGCCCTCAGGCTACACTGTTTTGGGGCTTACTTGCCCTATAATGACAACTGTGACTAGACCTATGATCTATGATAGATGGATCCTGTCTTAGAAATTTGTCTCTTGGCCTTAAGGTTTTATGAACTAGATCCTGAGGTCAAGTATTTTGGTGGTGTATTTTTTCCCCCAAATGGGACAGAATTGGAAAAGACACCGTTCAAGAGGACCCCTTGCTGAGCTCAGATGGGCTTATGGGTCTGGATGAGCCTTATACAACATGGTGGGACACATACTGAGATCTGGTACACTCACCTCTGAGTCTACAGAATCCTGATATACCCATGGTCTTAGAGGCTCTCTTTAGAGACTTGGCCTTATTCTCAAGGCCTACTTCTTTAGTTAGGAGCTTGTGTCTTTGTACCTAGGGGTCAAACTTTCCATAGCTCTCACCTACCTGGCCCAGATTTTACAAGTCCTTGCCCTTGCATTTTACTATGAGCTCAGTTTGCATTACTAGGTGAGCTCAGTTTGCATTACCTTATTTAATTGTCTCACTGGTTTTATGGGATCTGGATACCTAGTTTGTGTGGTAAAAGAGGCTAAGTGGCTGAACACCTTGTGCAAGGCTATACAGTTTAGAACATCAGAGCGAAAGTTGAAAGTCGGGTATTCTGACTCCAAATCTACTGCTTTTCCACAATGCAGGTGCCTCCCATCTCTCATGTCTCCAATCTTTTGGGTCAACAAAACATATCAAACCACTGAGCTTATTGGAATCTACTATTGGAGCTAATGGAGAATACTAAGGTAAGTTTTATTTTGTTGCATCTTTAAATCAGAGAAACATTAGGCTTGATTTGGAAAGCTAAATAGTGCTAAAATGCTTATGAAAAATACAGAAATCTCTAATTCCTCTTTCACCCTTCCTAATGATTAATGCTTAGAAGGAACAATGAAAAGTTTTCTGGTTTTGCTAGCATTTTTATTCATGTTCCTAAAAAAATATTGAATGCATATATTACTATCTGTTGATTCAACAGTTCTAAACATTTTATTAGATTAGGATGTTAACTTCTTACACATTCTCTCCTTTTCTTTCTCCCTTCTTATCTATATAGTTATATGACAGTGTTGGAAAAAATAACCTTTTTTTTCAATTTATATTCTTTCTTAGTACATGTTTGTAGTATACAATGATCACATTTCTTGCAAAGGATTAGTATAAGTACATAGCATATCTCAGTGCTTTGTTTATCTTCTTCCCTTCCTCTCCTTCCATCTCTTGGTCCCCTTCTAATTGCAAAAGATCTATTCCCTGTTTCTATTATTTATCTTTTACTTTGCTTTTATTTAAGATTTTCTAATGACCATATTGCTGAGAAGGGAAGAAGCTATAGGATGGAGTTGACTTGGCTGATTAAAAAGTACTGAACGTTGTTGGGAAGAGGGCTTTCCTATCAGCACTGCCTTTGTTATGTTTTTGGTCATTTTCATGGTGACCCAGGGTCATGTGAGCCGTCTCACCACCCCTTTCTTTCTTGCTTTGTTTGGGCTTACGTAACAAATTCAACCTCTCCTACTTATTGTTTTTTCCTTTCAAATTAAAAATCCTTAATATTATATAAAAGGTTAGTATAAGTAAAAAACTAACAAAATGTATAAATAAGGACATAAGTAGCTATTAGATGACTGATAGACAGTGCTAAAAGTGTGCATGGTCTTTGGATTTCAGCAGGCTTGGAATTGCATCTTGGCCCTTGCTACACACTAACTCTGAGATTGTATTGGTCCACTGTCTTGGGTACTTTTTTCTTGTTGCTGAGACAAAATATCTGATATCTAAAGTTAGGGAAGGAAAGGTTTATTCCTTACAATTTTGGAAGTTTCAGTCCATACTCAACTGGCTCCAAGAGGCAGGGTGGCATGGTGGGGCTGCAGTGAACAGCAAGTGCAAACTGGCCAGAAGAGAGAGAAATATGCCTTCCTCCTGTCATTACATTGTATGTTGTTCCACCCCTGGATGAGTGTAGCACTCATACCACCAATCTGAGTGCTAGACAATGAACCAATCACAAATGCTAGATTTGGTCGCATCCATGATTGCATGAGGCTTGTGGGGGTTGGGGAGCACTGACATAAACAATGACATTCCACCCATGGTCCCCCAAAGACTCATGTATGTCCTTTATACAAAAGGCATTTAGTCCATCTCCAAGAGTTGCCAAAGTTCTAACAGTTTCAGCATGGCTAAAAAGTCCAAGTCCCAAATCTTCTCTGGGATCTATGGCAAACTCTTAACTGTGACCCTCTGTACAGATGAAAACAAACTTAAACACTTCCAACATACAATGGCACAAGATAAACATTACCATTCCAAAAGTAACAAACAAGGGAATACAAAGCATTGGAACTAAAGCAAGTCCAAAATCCAGAAGGGCAAACATTAAGTACTGGAGTTCCACACTCAGCATCTGAAACAATTTGGTGGTAAGCTCCAAAAGGCTTGAGTGACTCCACCACTACAGCACTTTCAGGGATTCTAGTTCTGAAAGCTTTTCTCCTAAGCACATTATGCTCAGTTTTTGTAGCTTTCCTTGGATGATCCATGTTTCTGGCTTTTCCAGACTTTTGGGGTCTCCATAGTGTCTTTGGCCTCTCACTCACAGCTTTATATATTGCCCTCTTGGGCACACTGCTTGGCCTCCCAGGCCTTCTGAAATTGGAGTGGAAGCTGTCTTAACTTCATAACTTGTGCATTTTTCCTGCACTTAAAACTAGCACTGCATAGATGCCACCAAGGTCTGCTGCCAACTGGAGCAGCAGCCAGACTTTTTTTCCTCTTGGCTGTAGAAGTTGAGTGCCTGAATCTCTCAGCTCTCTGAACCTGAACATGAGGAACACTTCTCTATGCTGCCACCATTCTGGAATCTGGTGTGGCCACTGCCATTTTGGAACCTCCTGTTGCCTCCATCACCACTCTGGAACACGATGCTTTGCAGCTTTCTCCTCTGAGCAAACTCTTTCACTTTTGCAGTTTTGAGGCTGCAAAGGGTGGAGACTTACTGCTTCCCACGATGCCCCTGGCCATCTTTTTTATTTCTCTGTTCCTTCTCAGTAATCAAGGTCTCAGCTCTAACTGTACAGTCCATAACTTCTGACCAAACTCATGACCTTTTAAATAGCCTGCTGCGCTCCTTGCTTTTTATTTGCAACATAAATCTGGCAAGCAAAAAGCCCCCAACAATAGCCATGCCACTACCTCAACATTAGACTGCCTTGAAATTTCTTTTGCCAGCTTAATCAGTCCTCCACCTTTAATCTCTTGGGCAAAGCCTCTGGACACAAGCAAAATGCAGACAAACTTTCTGCCAAGCCATAACCCCTATGGTCTAGAGTCCAACAACCAATGCAAGTCGTTCTTCACAGCAGAAACCTCCTAAGCCTGGTCTTTATTTTTTTATTTTATTTTATTTTGAAAGTATACAACAGAACAAGTCAGAATAAAGCCAACTAAGATTGTACAGTGAAATTGGTACAGAACTTCACAGCAGGTTACCAGGATAACAGTAATAGGTATCATAGTATATTTTGTTATCTTTATAACAGTTGTTCTTTCAATCATGTATATCAAAATGAGATGAAATATAGAACACTATAGAACTTATCAAAACAGAATATTGAATAGCGCGGATCTCAGGAGACACTGCTGGTTCTCCCCCTGGAAGGGCTGCAATCTGCCACCCTGCCTCTGATTACCAGGGAGGGGAGGTGCTTGCTTGGCTTCCCAGAGTCCTAAGTTCCAACATGGCATGGGTCTCAGGAGACACTGCTGGTTCTCCCCCTGAAAGGGCTGCAGTGGGCCACACTGCTGCCACTTACCAGGGAGGGGAGGTGCTTGCTTGGCTTCCCAGAGTCCTAAGTCTTGCATTCTTTCTTTCTTTCTTTTTTTTTTATCAGTACCAGGGATCGAACTCACAACTGCCTGCTTGCAAGGCAGGTGCTTATGCTGCTGAGCTAAATCCCCAGGCAAGCCTGGTCTTTATCAGCAGGCTTTCTATCAGCCTTGTGGTCTTTCCTGAGCTCTGACCAGAAGCTCTCCCTACAGAACAGCCAAAGCTGTTCCAGCTCTATGCATTCAGGTGACATTTCCAAACGTTTCCAAACTCTTCCCAAAAACCATTTCCAAAGTCTCTTGAATCATATGGTTTGGTACAGTCACAACAATGACC